TCTCTACTCCCCTTCTTTTCTTGGCCCACATCCCCTTCTCCCCAGCTTGTCTGCCCAGTCTGCCCATTGCATCTGTCTCCATGCCTCTGCCCTTGCAGTCCCTTAGTGCCCATGCTCAGCCTTATTCAGCCCTGCCCTCCTCCACTGCTGCCTGCTCTCAAGCATCCGCTGTCCAGCAGCATCTGTCCAACCTTGCCTAGCCAGGGATGGGGTCAGAGACACCCAGACAGGAATAGGCCAGAGTGCCTTGGGATCAGCTTTTCACTGTGCAGCACCATCTGCGGAGGGGAGCAGAGCTGGGTGGTGCTGTGAGGGGCGCTATCGTCGCTGGTGGCGTTTGCTTCCCTCCGTGCGGTGCATGGGGGGCAAGGAGGGAGCTGCTCTCAGCTGCCCGTGGCCAGGAGGGGATTGCGTAGGGTGCAAGGTCCCCCCAGCCCGGGCAGAAGCAGCCCTGCCCGGGATGCTGCGCTCGCTGGAGCAGCCTCGCTGGCTGAGGGCTGCAGAGGGCAGCAGCGCCCCGCGCACGGCACCGGCCACCGCCGAGAGGGGGCCGTGCTACTGCCCGTGTCGCGACAAGCTGGGGAGGGCTCTGCCTGTGCGTGGGCTTACGTGGACACAGAGGCAGCCTCGGCGGCTGCATGCACAGCCCCCCGTGCCGCAGAGCCGTGCTTGCACACGGAGCCCTTGCACACGCAGGCACAGAGGGCTGTGCCAGCACACGCACGCCCACACCCGTGCCCGCGTTCCCGTGTGCCACACGCCGTACCGCGGCGGTGCCGGGGCTGGTGCGCCGATGCTGCTCCACGCCTCTTGTCCCCGGGCTCGGCTCCCACCGCGCTCTGCCTATCCTACTGCCCTAGCCCGCAGCCAGCGGCTCGACACCCCCAGACGCCAGCCTGGCCCCCCGCGCTGACCCGCTCCCCCGTGCTGATGCCAGGACGGGCACAACACCAGCCGGCGATGGAAGTGGGTCGACCGCGCCGTGGAGAGGGAGTGATGCGCCCCCGAAGAAGAGGGACAAAACGTGGGAGAAGGACCAGGGCTCCCGTGCCCCGTGGCACCCTGTGGGGTTGACCAGAGGAGTGGGGCCAGGCTCTGAAGCAAAGACAATGACCCCGGAGCCTTGGGGCTGGCCAGAGGAGTGTGGCTGTGCCCCTGGAGAAGGACAGAGGCTCTTGAATCCTGGGATGTCCCCCCGGACCAACCAAAGAGGGATGCCATGACCCAAGCAGCAGACTGCGGCCCTGAGGCCCTGAAGGGCTTCTAGAGGCTGGTCATATTCCCCTTGCTCTGCAGCAGCTCCTCAGGGCTCTGGGTCCCCCATATTTATCCCCAAGGTCTGGGGAACCCAAGGGTGCATTGTGGAGGCTGTGGGGTACACATCCTGATCCCCGCAGAACTGTGTACAGAGGGCAGCTGGGCTGCCCCTGCCTCTTAGTAAATGGCTTTTATTTTTGTATGGATGGCCACACGACTTGTTGTATTGTATTGTGTCTCCTCGAGTCCTCCTCTGCACCTGCATACCCCTCCATGCCCAGCATCTATACCTTCCACTTTCCGCCAGATGCCCCTCTCACCCTTCTGCAACCCCTCCCCACAGCTCTGCTGCCTGCCACGGGATGCAGGGTGCAGGATTTGGGACCTGGCCTTCCAGGGCAAGGACAGGGCAGACACTGCACCTCATCTGAGCAATAAAAGGATTCTGTCCCAGAGATGGATGCCTCTCTTCATGGGCCTGGGGGCTGGGATGTGGCTCTGCCCAAAGCTGGGGAGTGATGGGAGCTGTGCAATTGGGGTCGGAACACTCAGGGATTAGATGAGGGTGTTGGGAGAGGGTCCTGAAAAGGGCTTAGAACTCAAGGATGGAACTGTGCAGGGCTAGAGCAGGACCTTAAGGTGAGATGCCACTGACAGATGGTGGGAGGGCATAATATAGACACTAAGATGGGGGTTGCTGGGACTTGAGGGAACAGGGCAGCTGGGGTTGATAATCACCATTTCTTGGGAAGCCAGGGTTACCCTGCTAAGTGCCAGGATGGACCCCTTGTGACACTTGGTGACTTGCTGCATCTTTTCATTTGGGGAAGGGTAGGACCTCTGTGACACCATCCCAGAAGACAAGCCCCAGAGAGTTTGGGTCCTTTACCCTGTGGCAGGGAAGCCCTGCCCAGGAGGCTGGTGACTTTTGCCTGATAATGGCCACAGGTTGTGACAACTCCCTGCAATCTAGAGAAGGGGGGTTGGCTGGCATAAGTGGTGCAGGGTTGAGCAGGTGATAGAAAGAGCAGGGCTGCAGCATGGAGTGGAGTGGTGCTGCAGTGCTGGGGAAGGACACTGCATCCTGCACTGTTCTTGTAGCAGCCTCCCAGGTGGTACTCAGGACCAGCACTGCAAGGAACAGAGATGCTGTGTGTATGCAGACTGAGACCAGGCACTTTGCTCCTCAGCCTGCCACTGCTCAGGACTCTGCCACTGCTTTTTCAAGCTTCAGGTGCCCCCTGGCACTGACTGTCTTGCACATTTGGAGCTGTGGTTGTGTCCCGTTCCCCCTGCTAGGTTGGTTTTGGGACCTGGCTCTTTAGAGCAGACCCAATGCCCTGGTACCATGCTGGAGCCCCCAAGTGTCACCTCAAGTGACATGGTGGCTGGGGACTAGGTGCCTAGGGGGGCTGGATTGGTGGCTGGGGGTGTATAGGGGACACACTTATATTTGTGATGCCAGGACAGGGTTATCCCTGGGTGGGAAAAGCTGGGCAGCCTGGGAAGGTGTCCACGCCTTGTGGAAGGGTGATGCCGAGGCTCTGGCTAATGGGTAACCCTCCTGTCCTCTCTCTCCCTGCGCAGAGCACTCGGCCGCTGCGAAGACAGGGGGCTGCTTTCCTGGGAGGGCACTGGCAACGCTGGAGGACGGTGCCCAGACACCACTGTGGGCACTGCGGCCGGGCCAGCGAGTGCTGGCAATGGACGGGGCGGGCAGGCCCACCTACAGTGACTTCTTGGCTTTCCTGGACAAGGAGCCCCGTGCCCTCACCACCTTCCATGTCATCGAGACGCAGGAGCCGCCCCGGCGCCTGGTCCTGACGCCCACCCACCTGCTCTTTGTGGCGGAGAACGCTTCAGCACCCACCGCCCACTTCCGCCCCATCTTTGCCAGCCTTGTGCGCCCTGGACATTTCGTGCTGGTGGCCACAGGGGGAGGCAGCTTGCAGCCTGCCAAAGTGGTGGGGGTGCGGGACCGGAGGGACGTGGGAGCCTATGCCCCGCTGACACGCCATGGGACACTGGTGGTGGACGGTGTGGTGGCCTCCTGCTTCGCCCTGGTGCAGGAGCAACAGCTGGCACAGCTGGCCTTCTGGCCACTGCGGCTCTACCACAGCCTGGTGGGGTGGCCAGGGGCACAGGGGGATGGTGTGCACTGGTACTCAGGGCTGCTCTACCGCCTGGGCAGGCTGCTCCTGCCCCCTGACAGCTTCCACCCACTGGGGGTACCCCGGGCGGAGAGCTGAGGGTGCACCACAGCTGCGGCCAGCACTGCTGGTGGAGGTGGTGGCTGCAGGGTGACTCACTGGGGGCCAGCATCCCCTCCCAAACCTGGATGCCCATGGGGAGCTGCCTCCAGCCCTGCCTGCTTGGGGTACAGCCACCTCCTGGTCAGGGGGCACTGAGGCTCCCCAGCTTGCCTACTCCGTGCCCAACCCCCCCTCCCCTCCTGTTCCTGGGGGCAGGGGGGAGGCATGAAGGGCTTCCCCTGGGACAGGGGGATGCCCCAGCTGGATCCACATGCTGCTATGTGTGTGTGTGTGTGTGTGTGTGTGTATGAGATGTGTGTGTGCATGGGCTGAATTAGCTAATGATGGAGGTCGGATCAAGGAGTGGGGCCTGGAAGAGGAGAGAGCCATGGCTGCTACTCCGGGACTCCCAGACCGTCTGCACCCAGGAGGGAGGCTTTGGGAGAGGGGCCTTGGGCCCCTTTGCTAGGCAACCTGGGTGGGAGGGCAGGCAATGCTGTTTCCACCTCTGGGACATGGTAGATAGGAAGACGGTGGTCCAGGTACTGGGACAGCTCTTGCGTGAGAGCTCTGTCTTGGTGACACAAGTACCACTGGAGTGATAGACTGGGGAGTGGGATGTCAAACTCTGCAAAGCGAGCACTGTAGCCACCCAGTTGATCATGCCCATGGGGCTCCTGTGACAGCATGGAGGGCTCTGGCTGCAAAGAGGGGGCTGCGGAGGCAAGCACATGGGCAGGAGGGTGCAAGTGTCAGCTAGATATGGGCACACACTAGTAGGAGTAGGGGTGGGGAGAGCAAAGGCTGCAGCCCCAGTCTGCTGGAGCCTGGGGAAAGAAAGCGGCAGGGAAGAAAGCGGTCCCTCCCTTGCCTTCCCAGCATCCTGCCCTGAGCTGGCTTAGCCCAAAAGCCTGTCCCACTGCAAAGCTAAAAAAACTCCTCAAGCTTAAGACCCTGCCCGGCCTGACCTCCACAATCCACCAGTACCCCAAAGCCTCAGGGTAACTCATTGCTGCTCACCCACTCCTGGGACCTGCAGGGAGTTAGAGCTGCGGCCACAGTTCCCCCCCTCCAAATCCTAGCTGGAGCCTCAGCCTCCCCTAGCTCCACATTAGCAAAGGTGAGAGGGCTGAGGGGGACTCTGACCCACGTTCCCCCTGCAGCATCACGCGTCTTTATTTATTTATCTGCTCTTTGTATGTACCATAGAGGCAGCGTGGGCGCATGCAGGCTGAGATGGGAGTGGTGGGGGGAAAGCTGTTTGGTTGGGGGGTAATTTTTTTTTTAAACAAAAAGCAGAAATTATTTAAAGATTATTTTAAAGCACAGCTTTTTTGGTGATTGTTGTCCAAGACGAAGTGAGGGAGTGTGAGCATGGCCGACAGCAGGTGTATTTTTGTCTCTTCACTGGATGTACCTTTCCTTATTAGGATTTATTAGGGACACGGCCCAATAAATCCATCATCTCCCAGGAGGGAGCTCTGAGCTCTGGTGTGGAGAGGGCAGGCAGAGATCGGGGATGCTTAATGCGCCCATCATAGCTGGAGGCTGTGGGTTTGACCCAGGGTACATGGGACCAAACTGTTATTGAGGCCACCTGGAAACTAGAGCAAGAGGGGTAGGATGTAATAGTTATGGCCAATGCAGGACTACCAGGGCACCTCTCTATCCCAGTTTGGACCCATCACCCCAGCACCCATCCGTGCTGGGACACCTTTCCCCACCATTCCTATCACCACTACACCCACCAACCCAGTCCTACCAGAGAAGATGGACCCCATACTCTGTAGACAGGGTTTCCGATGTCACTAGTGCTAGTCACTGCTGACTGTCCCCTCATCCTCTGCCAGCCCTCTCGCCCCTCTACCACATCCCCATGCCAGCAGAAGGGAAGATCACCAGCCAGCACCCCACAGTGTATCTCCATACCTGTCCCACCCACACACACTTCTGTGCACCCCCTGCCCCATCTCCAAGCTGCCCTGCCTTGGTATCTTGGGTGGGGCTGGGAGCGAGGTCCCCTCAGGGCTTTCCCTGGACCCCACAGCATGGTAAGTGCTAAGCAATTCCACAGCAGGCTGTCAGTGAGGGCCCTCATCACCATGGCTAATTTAAGGGCACTGTGAGGCGGCTTAGCTAATTTAATTAGGTTCTTATTACAGAGAAGGACAAATTGGTCCCCGTGGGGGCCATGGGGTCAGGCTTTTGAGAGGCACTTTATGGAGTGAAATTTCAATCAAGTTGTCGTCGCAGACAGGGGGAGCTGGAGGCAGAGGATTCATAGGGAGAGGATATGCTCTTTGGGGGGCCTGGTGGTGGTGTGGGGCAATCATCTCCATGCTCCAGTGAGCATGTCAGAAGAACTCTGCCGCATTAGGAGGATGCTGCAGGGTATATGGGGGCTCCTTTGGGGTGGAGGCAGGAAAAGTGGGGCAGGAAAAGCTCCTGGCTCTCAGCTGACCCCAGGGCAGCGAGAGGAAGAGTGGGACATCCTTAAGTAAGATTCTGCAGTCTTTCTGAGGCTCCATTAACTCCCCCATAGCCCCATAACCCCCCATGGTGAGGATGTTGAGGGCAAAATGATGTCCAGCTGATAGATGAGACATATGGGGGTCTCTTCCTTGCCTGAATGTCCTCCCCTCTCTTGTCAGTCAGCCCCAGGAGAGCCATGACAGCCTGGGGGCTGCCCCACTGCCCGTGGGCACCTGAAGCAGCCCCATCTCCCAGCATGCCAGTTCTGGGCGGGTCCCAGCACCACCAACCATCCCAGCTGGGCAGTGATGGATGGGGATGCTGGTGGGTGGCCGGCAGAAGGGCCGGGCTGGAGAGTCCAACAATGGATGTCTCTCCATCAATTTGTCCTCATTACCATGTGAATGGTGGGCGGGATGGAGAGGAAGGGCATGTGGCCCAGGAGAAACCCCCCACATGCTCCCATCTGGGGTAGCATGTTCCCCCTTCCCATCCCTCCAACCCTGTCTGAGCATGTTAAACCATCTTCAACACCCCTCGGGCCTCTAATTCAGGAGAAGAGAGGTACCACCCTCTATTCAGAGCCTTGAAAAGGCTACAGGGTCCGGCGCTGTTAACAAGGGGGGACATGGTCCCTGTCCCCGCCTCTCCCGTCTGTCCCTTGCCCCACGGCCTTCTGCTGTGGCAGCACAAGCCAAACCCGCTCCCAGCTCCAGGCTGGCATGCTAAGCACCAGGATCCCGGCAAAGGAGCAGCAGGGAGGCACTGGGGCTTGAAGAGCGGGAGCAGAGCGCCCTAAGTGCATCCCCTGTTTGTGGCAGTTTTGGGCAGCACAGGCAGGGAGAGAGCAGAGTGGGATCCTGTCAGTCTTCAAGGCCAAACCTGCCCCTCTGGGCATGGCAGTGGTATGTCTCCAACGTCCTTGAGCTCTGGGTCCAACCAGGTCCCCATGGCCTGGGCAGTGATGATGATGGGAGGTGGGGGGTCACCCCGAAATATTTGTACCTGCAGGCATCAGTACAGCAGGTTGCAGAGATCCTTCTTCTGGCAAGGCCACACCAACCCAAACTGCTCCCCTAAAAGCCCAGAAGAAGCTGCTTAGCCCTGCACACTGCCCGCCAGCAGGTGTCCACAGAGGGAGCTGGTACCAGCTTCCCACTCTCACTTGCATTAGCGTAATTAAACTTAATGGCTTTTTGGAGTGCTGCTGCTCCAGGAGCAGAGGCAGGACCCTGTTCTCTGCAGCTTTGTTGTGGGTGGTGTCCCAGTGCCCTGTCCTCGAGCCCACAGAAGCCCCAGGAAGGTGTGTAGTGTGTGCTCTGGAACCCATCCTGCACAGCGAACTCCTCCCCCACATATTGCCCCTCTGCCCTGAGCCCCCCAGCTTCTGCCCCTCTGTCAACTGTGGCACCCATGTGGGGACAATCCTGGGGACATCCCCACATTGCAAGTCTGCAGAACCCCTTTGCCTCTGTGTGGCAGCTCCTCACGGGCAGGGATTAAGGTGTTTTAGCCTCTGGGAGTCAACCACAGCCAGCTGTGCCTGTATGGACACCTTGGACAAACAGACACACGCATCCATCCCCTACACATACCTTTATCCCCTGAACAGACACTTGCCCATGACCTCACTAGTTGAGCCTGAACACCTACCAGCTCTCAGAATCACCATGCAGTCCCCCAAATTACTCTCTTTCCACTCTATATCCTTTATATCCCAGCAGCACCCAGGTGTCCCTGTGTCCCTGATCTCTGTTCCCTCCAGGGACAGTCAGGGGGACATGTACATGGCCCATTGTGACAGCACAGACACTAAGACGGAAGGACATGGGCAACCCGTGGCAGTGCCCGTCTCTCCAGCCATACCCACCCCACATCTCCGGGGTGCAGAGAGCACCCTGGACCCACGGAGTGGGCTGACATCTCCCCTCATCCAGGGTGAGCCCTGTTGACCCTCCTGCTGGAGGGGCACCCTTAGCTCCCTCTCCCACAATGTAGGGTACAGAGCTAACACACTAAAGCCCAACTTTCCCTTCCCATACGCCCTCCCCAGTCATCAGGACCCACTCAGCACCCAATGTGGGTCCCCACTACAGGGTAGGCAGAGCTGGGCATGATGCCAGTAGTCCCCCACCTTCCAAACAAGTGAGGGGCAGGCAGAGGCAGCTGGGGACCATGCAGGGGGCCCGGCACCAGGCATCAGTCGTTACCTCATACACTATCCCAGTATGAGATGGGGGACTCCCAGCACCACAAGAGCAGCCAGCAGGATACACTCCAAGGAGAAACCCCACAGCCATCCGGCACTGACTGACACTGGCTGTGTGGTGCCCCAGGGGGAGTCAGGATGGGGGGTGTATGAGTATGCATCCACACGCAGGGAATGAGTAAGAATCTAATCAGAGTCCTTTTCCTTAATAAATCATTCGTCTTAATCCAACGCCCTCCCTCCTGCTCTAATAACTCCCAGCGCTGGGCCCCACAGCCACAACAATGCAGCTAATGGAACGATTTATTTTCATAATGGTGCTAGTGGGGAGAAGGGGTGGCCGGGGTGGGGGCAGCATGCTCTGGGGCAGGAGTTTCTAATTAGTGAATGAAACTTGATGTAAGGCTGGAGGAAGATGGATGCGCTTCCTGACAAGGGGCCTTTCAGCTCATCAAAGCGCCCGATCAGGGAGGTAAATTAAATTATTTCTAATTCTTCACTAACCTCCAGGGAGTCACTCTTCCACCAGCAAAGGTGGGTCCATTCCTGAAATGAAGAGGCACTTGAAGGACTGAGGTTAGGTAGAAGGGACTGGTGGAAGGGATGGGGAAGACAAGATGGGATGGAGTGGGACAGTGGAGCAGGACATGCCATTGACTTTGCTGGAAGACCAGGGAGAGAACAAGTGGTGATGGAGGGGAGAGTTGCAAATGGTCAATAAACAAACAACTCCAGGGACTAATGACTAATTTGTTGCAAGTTATCCATCCATGCCGTTCACATAACTAGACCCAGAGCAGGGCTGAAACTCAGCCAGTGCTGGGATGGAGCAGAGCAGCCCAGCAACAAGGAAATGGCATTCCAGCCCTCGGGGAATTTGATGAGGGACAGCACTTGGTTTTGAAGGAGCGACTAATTCTGAAGTAGGCAAAGGGTCCAGCACAGAGGAATGCTTCAGCAAAGGCCCTTGTTCTCATGACATTGTATGATTTAAGGTCAACACCAGTGATGTTAATGCTTGTGGCATAAAGCTGTTCTTGAGATGCCCAGCGATTTTTTTAAGCACCTAGCTCCTGGAATCCTGTGATGGAGATTTGTTTTACAGAGAACAAATGCACTCTCTCCTAGCTCTCCCTCTATCAGAGGAACTTTCAAATGTCAACCTGCCACTAGCCCAGATGTCCCCAGTACGAGAAGTGCAAAGAGGAAGGCTCAGTGCTGCGGCTGAAATCAGCCCCTGACTCTACCTGGAGCAGGGAGCTACCCTGAAATCACCCAGGGTTGCCCCGCAGCTCCACTCCCTGCAGTGCCAAGGAAGCACATTCACGGACAGCAGGCAGGTTCCCGAGGGTCTTTCCATATGAAATCATGGACTGCATTTCCTGCAAGATCTGCCCTCCTAACCATCCTCAGCACTGCCAAGCAGTTGTGATTGGAGCGCAGCCCAGGAAGGGAAATAGGGGGATTAGGGGGGCTGTGTCTTACTGCAAGGGGTTGGGGAGGCATGACGGGACCAGGGCTCTGCAGCAGTGCGTGGTTTGCTGCAGGCTGGGGAGCACAGTCCCCTCCCCACGGCTGTGCTAGGTGAGCTGGGACAGGCGCAGAGCTGGCTGTGCTGACCCAACACTCCAGGAATTTAATTTGTTTAATATATTCCCTGGGAAAGAAGAAAATAAATAAGTGGCACCTTGCGTGCCCCCATGTCTCACTCTCGCAACGGAGGTGTCAGCTTAACGAGCCGAAGCCCTCAGCCTGATTAACCAGCCGCTGCTCCCGCTAATAGGGAGCCGCCGAGCAGCGTGATTGATGTACACAGAGCATTAGCACCCCCAGCCTGGTGCTGGACTGCCGAGCGGGGGCACTGTATCCACCCCAGACCCCTTGCTCCTGCCCTCCATACACAGGCCCAGGTCAAGGGCATGTCAAAGGCTTTCTCTTCCTCTGGGGCAGATCATCATGCCCCACTGCTCTAGAGCATAGACAGTGCCTGGGGAGATGGAGCTGGGGCTGCTTTTGCCTCTGGAGACAGGGACACACGCTGGTGACTTCCCACGAGCTGCAGGTCTGTGTGGCACCTTCTCAAACTAGGGGCTGAGGACCGAAGTTGTGCAGGGGTTCTGTGCTGAGCTCTAGGTCTCAACCACATTGCCACACTATCCCCCATGGGCTGGGGCAGGGACACCTGGGGACACTGAGGCACAGGGATGTGCTAGTTGTGATGGTGACAATCCAGGGGGAGCCCACGCGTCTTGGTAGCTCCTTCAAGGCTTCAATCCAGCAAGCCCTTACCACACTACCAGGAAAAGATACTTCACCTTGTCCCATCCACTCCTCACTCAGGCTCACTCTTCTGCAGTCCTGCTTGCCTGTCCCTTCATCTGCCCCCTCCCCTTACTGAAGTGTCCCTGGGTCTCACTGCAGAGACGTCACTGGCTCCCACCATTCCTGTCCCATGGTATCACTACCCCCTGCCCCCACCCTGGGAAAGGGTTAATCAGCAGCCAGGGAGACAGGGTAATAAATAGCCGTTATCTTGGTAATGAGCGGACATTAATTAGAGCCCAAGGTCTTGGGAGGAGCAGCTGATTTATCCTGTCACCCTGGGAGCAGGTTAGGAGCTGACTCCATGGAAAGGCCATTACCAGGGAAGAGGTGAGGCTGTGTTGCTGGGGCGGAGTGCGTGTGTCCCACCCTTTCACCCCCAGAGCCCAGATCTGACTCTATTCCCTCACAGGGAGAAACTTCGGCCTTGGGACAAGACCTGGTAAAGCCAAAACAGAAGGTCCTGGAGTTGACAGGAAAAAGCAGGGCTGGGAAATCCCCCTGTGTGCCCAGCGAAAGCGGTGCCGGGGGAAGCGAGCCTGGCTGTGCCAGAGATGTGTGGCACAGGACACAATGTGCTGGAGTGGTGTGCTGAGCAAGGGCTGGGGGAGTCGGGGCATGAGGAAGCAGCAGGAAGGATAGTGCGGATTCAGTCACTTCCCTGCTTTCCTGGATGACTCCTGTGCTGAGCTATACGAGATGCTGGCTGTTTAGCCTCTCTCCACAAAAGCCAAGGCCTGGGGTGAGGACAGGACAGATACTGATGATGAGCCAAGGTGCACCCTCATTTGGGGGCAGTAGGATGAAGGAGATCTTTGTGTGGGTCCTGTGGGATCATGGTGTTTCAGGATCAGGTATTTCAGACTGATCAGGGACTAACAGGACTGGAAATGAAGCAGTCATACCCTGAGTTCTTCTGAGAAATAGATCTGAGTGACTGGGTGTCTCTGTTCCTCCAGTGCATATGTTTACAAGGCAACAAGCCCTCTGTCTCCACACCCGAGCACCTCTGCAGTGCATCGCTGAATCCCAGGAAGACAACAGCTAACAGAAGGGAGCCTTAGGGCATCTCTTGCCTGTCCACTGCAGCCCTACTATGGCTGATCCTACATGATGCTGGTACCCAACCCTCAGCAGTGTGCTGGGATCTGGTGTGATATGCCAGAGCTGCCCTGGCTGTTTCCGCCGGGGGAGGCACCCTCCCTTCCCTGCCAGCCTTCCCATGCTGGTTTACTATCCCCGTGCTCCAGGGTGGGAGCTGTTAACACATTTTTCTGCTCAGCCTTGCCATGTCCCATCAGAGATGAAGCTGCTTATTTGAGAAATTGCTTGGCTAAATAAACAGCTGCCCAGAAATCCCTGCAGGAGGCTGTCTGGGAGGGACTGAGCCATGTTTGCTTTGCCTGTTAACCCCTTCAGTGGGGGCAAGTACCTGGGGCTCCATGCAGAGGGAAGGGTGACAGTTGGGTAAGGGGAGAAGGGGGCGTGGGATTTCTGCCTTCCAGGACAGATCCCTGCCTGTTGGATCAAGCAGCTGATGTGCCAGGATGAAGAAGGTCTCAAGAGCCTGCAGCTGGCTCAGAAGTCTCCACAGTGGGCAGGAGCCAGCTGACCCATGTGAGAGGGGATGCAGGGACACAGCATGGCAGTGACTGAGCACAGCACCCTGGAAGCAGGCAGGGAGGTTGCTTCATTGACTAGTCTGCTGTCACCATCAGAGCAGGGAGAGTCCCCTAAAGACAGATGAGGAGCCCCTATGAGCATTTTTGCAGACAGCTGCTCTGTGTGGATGCCTCTGCCAATGTTTCTGTAGAGGGCACAGCCACCAAGCAACCTGGGACCTCAAGGCTGGCTGTGCCAGGTCTGACACAGGCTGGGCTCAGCTCCCATCGCTACAGGGCTGATTAAGACCTATTATCTGGTTGGTTAACAGCCGCAGGCCATGCACAGGTGACTTCAACTGTTCATTTAGCCACAAATCATCACTGGACTGGCAGTTTATTTACCTTCCCCACCAGCCTCCTGTGGCTTCCCAGACTCCAGAGATAGTGGATGGCCTGGCTGTGAGGGGCAGGGGAAGGGCAACATCCTCCCGTGGGCAATAGTCAGGGCTCCCGCAAAACCTGGGACAGCCCAAACTGGAGTAGACCAGTGGCTGTAACACCCAGCACTTCTTACCAGGGGCTTAGCCTGCTCTGGGATAAGAGAGGGATGTTTCTACAGCCCCTATCATGGGCAAAGAGCTGGGAAAACACTTGTGAGCCGGCTTATATCCTGTATCTCCAGCATCCATGGTGCCTCCAGGCTGTATTTCTTCACTAGCTGGCTACAGACTTTGGAGTGGTGCAAGATGACTTGAGGCACCAGGGCCACAGCAGCAAGATCTCTGTCTCCTCAGACATGCTTTAATCAAGGTTGTTGCACTGTAGGTTTCTTACAGAGAAGTAATTTCTAAACATGGAAAGCTCTGGGGACTGTGACCTGGTGAGTAGTTAATGCTCAGAAAATGGGTACAGCCATCCTGGGGACAGGGAGATCTTTCAAGGCTTAAAAGCTTAAATGGCCTGGGTAGAAATTAGGGTGCCTGTCACCTCTCTGTGACAGGCTATGCATTGGTTCCTGCACAGTCTCTGTGTCAAAGGTAACTTCTATTGACTCAGGGCAGGGGGTGACCCAAAGCCGCCAGAAGGACCTGGTGCTAAATTGTGCATCTAGGAACGGCCAAAATGAGAGGTTAAGTGAAAATCGAGACACCTCAGCATGGGTCATGTCATATCTGATATCTGGAAGGAAGACTCGTTTCTGGGAAAATGGAAGTCTGGTCCCAGTCGGAAATTTTTTTATTAGGGTATGGATTTTCCTCGGCACCCTTGGCTTTGATCTTGGGGCAGTTTGGTTTGCTGAGGGACATTACGTTGCTTCCCAAGGTGATACCGAGGAAGTAGTGAGGCTGTAAAACTGAACTGTGCTCC